TTAATATTTTCGTGTTTCAGTTGCATGCGGCCAATATTGGCATAGAAACCGAGAAACTTGAAAATCTACGAATTTCAATCTCGAAAGGCTCTCCAATGTGGGAAACTCTTGATCTGTGTATTAATATAGTGGATATTGAATCACTTGATCAGTTGATTCCTCGTCTCACTCAACTTGTCCGGGGTAGTGTTGGCCTCAATACGAGGTCAGTTATTTAAAACCTTCTATTAGTAACGAAACTAATTTATCTACAACTTTTACTTGAGACTACTTTTCTTGTTTTGGGTTTCGGCTGCTACTAATTACAAACTTACTATCAAATGCGATAGAGGTAAGAGAACTTGAGATTGTTGTAAAAAAGATGTTGATATTTTGTGGAATTTCCATTTTTTTCTGAACAGGGTTGGTGTTGCTAGCTTCTTCTCATTACTAATTCAAAAGGTTGGGAGCGAGATAAAGCCGTTCACTGGAATGCTGCTAAGACTTTTGTTTCCTGTTGCTAAGGAAGAGAAAAGTTCTGCTGCAAAACGTGCCTTTTCGAGTGCTTGTGGCATTGTATTGAAGTATTCTAGCCCCTCTCAAGCTCAAAGCTTAATCGAAGAAACTGCCGCTTTGCACTCTGGTGATAGAAGCTCCCAGATTGCTTGTGCAAGTCTTCTAAAAAGCTTTTCCTCCACAGCTTCTGATATTATGAGTGGTCATCAGTCAGCTATTGTTCCAGCTGTATTTATTTCCAGGTAAACCAGTGGAACTGTGTACTGCTGTATCTGGTGCATGTGAGATATTTTGCACAACGAATTCGTAACCTGATAATAACTTGATATTGGTTTTGAAATAAGATCAGAAATTATAGTTTTCAGTTTGTACCTCCCGTGTTCAAATACCTCCTGTGGTATATTTTTTTTTCTCTCTTGCAAATATTTGGCAGATAGTTCTGTACCATCTTCAAATTGTTACCTGATTTTTCTGGACGCGGAAATCTCATTATAGAATCTAAGTTAGTTTCTTCTATATTACAATACTTGAGTAGCTTACAATGATTAAAAATTGCAGATTTGAGGATGACAAGCAGATTTCGAGCCTCTTTGAGGAGGTTTGGGAAGACATCACGAGTGGTGAAAGGGTCACACTGCAGTTGTTTCTGCAAGAAATTGTGAATCATATTTGTGAGAGCATTACATCATCCTCGTGGGCAAGCAAAAAGAAGGCAACTTACGATCTTTCTTGTGCCAGTATTCTTTCTTAGTAATTGATATTTCTGCTGTCGTACTCATAGAAGATTTATACTTTTTCAGTCTGGTAGGGCAATTTGCAAACTAAGTGAAGTCTTAGGGGAATCGTTATCACCGCACCACAAAATATTGCTGCAATGTCTTGTCAATGAGATTCCTGGACGTTTATGGGAGGTGAGTTAACTTCTTTTCATTTTAATATTTTAATTTTCTTTTCCTTGGAGATTCATAAAAAAGTTAGTTGAGACGAATTTTGTAGCAGCAGCAGGATTAATTTCGAGAAAAATTTGTGTTACTCCACTAAAAGCTGCAGCTGTTACTTGTCCTTGTGGATGGATAGAGCTGGTGTGTGTATAAATATACTTTTCTTGCACTAGTTTTTCAAATCAATACTTGTTATCACAGGGAAAGGATGCTCTTTTGGACGCCCTAGGTGCTCTTTCAGTCTCCTGCCACGAGGCAATAACTAAAGAGGATCCAACAGCTCCCACTACCATCTTGAGTCTTATCTGTTCTGCATGCAAAAAGAAAGTTAAGAAATATCGCGAGTCAGCCTTCTCTTGTCTGGAGAAGGTAAGTTAAGACTTGAGAGTTGCTGATAATGCCGTTCTATGCAGCATTATTCGGTTAATCAACTTTAAATATTTTGATTGTATGTTATCAGGTCATAATAGCTTTTGGCGATCCAGAGTTTTTCAATACTGTTTTCCCGATGTTGTATGAGATGTGTAATTCTGCCTCCGTCAGAACCAGCTGTCAAGTTCCATCAGCAAGTGATGCTGTCAAAACAGGTTGTTACCTGACCAATGTACAATCCCATGATTGCTACACTTCGACTGATAACACTTTTCCGTGGTCACATTGGATAATATGTTGACTGATTATCATTAATACTTGTGCTTTTGTCTTATCTAGCTGGGTGATTATTTACTTAGATTAGGAACCTTGGCATTAGAAATAGTTAGATGCACATGAAGCGTTGCCTCCTGAAGATTATTGTCTAACCATAAACTGAAAGTTGATGGTGGAAATGAAACATCCCTTACCTCATTGTATAGCTCATATAGGAGATAGGTTTTATGCTATCAAAAAGTTGTCTCAGTAATCTGAATAGTTCCGTCCACCCTTTGTTTTCAGAATCTGAAAATGGAGAAGACGGGCAAGTCTCACTTGAAAAAATTATGGAATGTGTCAAGTCTTGCATCCAAGTGGCAACCATCGATGGCATTCTTCGCCGGAAAGCAGATTTGATTCATGTTATTTTAATTTCCTTATCACCTGGTTTTCTATGGAATGGTACTGGTTTGTCTATCTTACTTTCGAGAAAACGTTTTATCACCTTTACCAATCTGATTTTCGTCGTGCAGTAAAAATGTCTGGAATTTCATGTGTTGGAAAGCTTTGTTCAAGGTTTCGGAGTCTATGGAATGACTCTATGGATGGCCTTTTACCTAGTGATGCGACAAAATTTGCTCATGAGGTAATTAGTCACATATACGTTGTTTACCCACGGTTGTATAATTTTGACTGCATTTAAGTATTCTTCTTGCTTTTCAGTTATATCACTCAGTGGTTCCTAAACTACTGGAATGCATAAGCACAGTGAAGATAGCGCAGGTATGATCTCCTCTGATTTGTGATTTTTTCTTTTACGGTCCAGAATTTTTATCATTAGGAATACTTAGGAAGTTAATGTCCTTAATAGGTGTTAAATCTCATTAATGATTTCTAGTTTATTAGCATTTACAGCATGTTACTTCTCAAGTTAGTTTATCAAGCTTAATGATGTTTTGTTCTAGAAGGAAAGAAGCAGCTTTGTTTATCATGCTTTACAATCTTTTTGATTAACAAAAGATTTTGAATAAAAAAAACCAGTAGATTCTAAGCATTTTTATTCAACAAAATTCCAACCTACCAGTGGTTTGTATATCAATATCGTTTTGACGATCTTTAGATTATCATTTACATGACCTGAATGTGATGGAAAGGTCCTTGAGAAAACCAAATGATTGTCTTAATATCTTGTCTTTTAAACTAAATACTAAACGACATAAAAACCGCAGGTACATGTGGCTGCTTCGCAATGCCTGCTCGAGCTCATTGAACTGTATAGCATGGTCTCGACATTGCATCCCGTGGAAGTAGATTTCAAGGCTGAGATTATCTCTTTGCTTGAAGTCGAAAAGAGTGAAGAAGCTAAGTCGTTGTTGAGAAAATCCAGGGATGCGCTTCCAAATCTCTCCTCGTTAAGTTAAAAGCACAGAGAAGAGTGTCCTACTCTTGTTTTGGTTTACTTGTTCATTTTAATACAAATTCCATTAACAAGTGTGTTGTCTAAATCGGAGACATTGTGATGATGTGTGACGTTGAGAGATAAGATCTGTTCAACTCCGATATATCCTTTTATTACCACTCAAGCAAAAAGAATCACAAATAAAATGATTTATGGTCATTGCGACTTTGAACCAAGTGTGTGATTGTAGAGAAGAATAGGATTTGTTGATCCATAATAACAACATTAATGAATGGGACTTCTTCCTCCAACTCTCGATCGACAGTAAATACATTTTATGGTCAATACCATTTCTGAAGTCATCTATGTCATTGGACGACCAAATTATTGCGAGACTTCTTCGGTTTACGTAAACCATCGGTCTTCTACTTGGAGAGAAACACACCAAAGTGACAAAAATATTTCAATACCTTGGAACAAGGTTTGGCAAGACACCAAACACAACGAGGAAAGCAGATCTACAGAATGGTACTGGTTCGTCTATCTTATTTACCAGAAAACGTTTTATCACCTCTACAGGTAAATTCTTAGAAAATAGATAATTAAACATTTGACGTTTTGCAGTTGCCCAGTTAATCTCACTCTTTCAACATCCTCAATCCCACCCTGTAGATTTACCAACACACAAGTCTCACCTGTCAGTTCACATGTCAAAATCAGCAATCTCGCTATAACAAACAGAGCTCATCTATTACCATCACCAAATCAAGTTGATTCATGACTGAGATTGCAGCGTTCACAACCTCCCAAGGATTCAACTCTTTTCATTGCACTCCCCTCACCTCACAACCTTAAACTGATCTTCCACAATATCCTTTCTCTTAACCACTCTGCGCAAAGAGAAATCAGATCATCTCTCTTCTTAGGGTGTGCAATCACAAAACAAAACTAACCAAGGTCCCATACATGTATTGTTTATATTTTTGCATGAGAATTCAGAAGGCCATATTTATTTTATTGCTGTATTCGTGACAAAGAAAATTCGAGACCATTTTGGGAGAAGATGAAAAAGTTGAGGGTTAACTATTACTTAGTGACTATACCAAACGTTCATGCTTCAAGACTACAGATATTTCCTTTTGTTTGGCTATGGCATTGAGTAAACAATAGCGCTCCTATTACAGAGCCCATCTGGTTAATAAACTGATTATAACAGGTAAAAGCAGTATATGAACTGACCAGAATTAGAACTGTTGACTCGATCCTTAGCATTGTCCACGAATTGCATCAACTGCTAACATCATGGAGTTTGTACTTTGACCACTGTAGAGAGAAGAAACAATTATCACCAGGGTAAAGTCAGGAAAGGAGACACGCCTTTACATAAACACTCTTCAAAAATCTTTCATTTTGCAGATGCAGATCCAAAGTTTCTTCTCGATGGGCTGAATTCTACCTTTTACCTCCAAATGTGATGCATACACCATGTACAGTATAGATCACCCAAAACACTTGACCTTCCAAATATACATTCATTATAATCCTTCATTCAAAGTAGCAATCTTAACTGCAGCAGCCACCAGATCTCCAGTTGGTGAAATATCCTTTCTTGACAATTCCGTAAAAAATGTGACTGCCTTATCTATGTATCCTTTCCGACAATAACCAGATATTAGAGCTGTGTAAGTCACCATATCAGGCTCCAGCCCACTGTTTATCATTCGATCAAAGAGTTTTGTGGCATATTCTAGGTTGTGAATCTTGCACTGACGATCTATCAAAACAGTATAGCATACAACATCTAGTCCAATACCGGCAGCTGTGAATTCTCTCCAAACTTCTGAAGTTTTCCTTTTCCGCACTTCTCCTCGAACAGAACATGATGTTTCATGATGCTCTGGATCCAACTTCAGATATTTATCAAGCAAAACTGTGTATGTAACTACATCAGGTTTTATTCCTCTCTGCTTCATGTCCTCAAACAGATCATCGGCTTTCTGTAACTCATTTAACCTACAGTAGGTGTGAATCATAATTGTATAAGTAATTAGATTAGGAATGAGTCCTCTCGTAACCATTGTGTCAAATAACAGCTGGGCTTCTGTCGCATTGTTTAACCTACACAATTCCCCAATCATTATACCATACATGCTCCTCCCAGGTTCAATTCCATAAACCCACATTCTTTCCATTACGGCGAGCGCTTTGTCGAGATAACCCTCAATGCAGAGATTAGTGAATAGTTTGAAGTACACACTCTTCCGCATAGGGAATTCTTGTTCAATGAACAGTCTAAAGGCTTTTTTAGAAAGGCCAGATTCACAGTAACCTTTCACCAAACTGCAATAGTTTTCTGGGCATTTGTTTTCCAGACTCATGAAGAAATCTTCGGCTTCCTCTATTTTACGGGCAGAGCACAAGCCTTCAATCATCACATTGTGTGTGACAGCATTGGGCTTTAGACCCTCAGCTTTCATAGTTTCATAAATAACAAGTGCCTCTTTAGCATGACCATTCCTGGCAAATCCACCGGCAAGCACAGTGTATGTGATTACATCAGGAGAGATACCACTTCCTCTCATATCATCAATCAAGTCAAGGGCATCAACAACTTTACCTCGAAGGCAGTAGCCATCTAGCAGAGTTGTGTAGTTGATGACATCAGGAACCATTCCTTTATCCATCATTTCGTGGAGCAACTCAATAGCTTCTTCCACTCTGCCAAGCTTGCTCAAAGCATCAAATGCGACATTGTAACAAACCCTGTCCAGGAAAATCTTCCTGTCTTTAAATTCTTTGAACTTTTGTAATGCTTCCATATACTCTTTCATTTTACAATGGCACTGAAGGATTGAACTTACGATCACACAATTTAGTTTGAGTCCTTTTTCCAACATTGCATTTAGAAAACCCATAGCTTCAGGTAAGTTCATGTTCTTGCAATGTCGATCAATTATCAATGAGCAAGCATAAACATTAGGACCAATCCCAGCTTTCTCCATTTCAAGAATAACGCTCTCGGCAGCTTCTATTTTCATCTCATTACAGAAGCCGCGGACCACCATGCTATACGCAGTTTCAAGGTCATTACCAGCCAGAGCTTTCATATCTATCAATTCTTTGACCAGAACAACAGCTTGTTCTGTCTTCTGATTTGCACAAAGTCCTTCGATGAAAGTCGTATAAGCAAACACGATCGGAGTCATCTCAAGCAACTTAGCTGCTGCTTCTAAATCGCCTTTCCTACACAATGCCTTGACAACAATTGCGTAAGTGTACCCATTGGCATCCAGTCCCAGCTGCTTAAGTTGCCGGAAAAGAGCAACCACCATATCAGTTTTACCAAACTCAATCAAACGGTTCATCAAGAAATTGCAGGCCTTGATACTCGGGACACAACCCAGGCGATTACTCTGGAATAAAACATCGATAGCCTCGTCAAACATCCGAAGACTAACGTAAGCTTTGGCCAAGGCACTGGAGACTCGGACCAAGAGCAAGGACCTTTTATCCTCCTCAGCTTCTTCTCCAATAGAAGCTATCAAATCCATGACACAGAAACCACGCTTCTCGTTTCCAATAAGTTCCACTAATACCGAATCTAACTTCCTGTCCAAACCCCAGCTAGAAAGAAGTATGACAAGAGTTGCGTATGCATTAACATTAAGCGAAACCCCATGTTGCTTAAGCTGTCCCAAGAACGACAGAGCGAGATTTGGGTCATTTCTGGAACTATTCAGGACTCGATTGAAATCAAAGTTACCGACTTTAAGGTGTTGTTCAGAGTCTGAGAGATTAGGGCTCAGAGCAGAGACGGCGAAGAAGCGGCGCGAAGAGGCTGCTCTCCGACCCAATCTCAACTGTGAGAGTAACATGGTTGGGGAAAACCGCATCAAAATTCGACGATGATCACAAGCAGCTTCTTTGGACCACGAGTTGAGTGCCGGAGAGCATCTAAAACCCTAAATCCAATGAATCTAATCTACAAAGGATTCTTCAAAGGTTTTCATTCAAGTTACTAAATTGTCTCCGATTACAAAAGCATATATATTTAACAAACAAAAAATGCTTACAAAAATATAGAAAAATCGCTTGATACGCATTA